CCCCTGGGCACCGCGTAAATAACACAAGCAAGATGTAAGCATGGGCGGTATCTGGGAAGATCCAGGGAAAAAGTCAGCTATACAATGATGACTATTATTATACCTGAAAATTAATTTGCATTATTCTTTTTAATTAAAAGATGAAAAGCCCAGAACAAACTTCAGGATCAAAAATAGATCCCCTCTAACATAGGTAGAAGGTGGTGGGATTAGCATTATCTTTGCTTTTAGACAGAACAAAGCATTCAGCATTCATACTCTGTGCCAAGCACTAAGCCAGGGCACGCGGGCCAACAAGGCGAAACAGGAAAGGTCTCTGCCTCCCAAGACCCTCATTCATCCTCTGTGCCTGAACAGAGAGGAAGGAAGGATGGATTGTACCAGGGTGCTGTCTCCACCTGTGGAATGGGGCCAAAGGAGGCATAGTGTGGTAAAACAGGAACGCTGATGCCCAGTGAAAGTATGGCCAAAGCATGACACCCATCAGACGTCTGCTAAGTGTTCAGCAATTAATAACAGTCATTAAGCATCTTCTGTGAGCCCACCACTGTTCTAGAAATTGCAGGCAGTAAAAAAATCTTTCCCCTTCTCTCCAGAGTTTAGAGTCTAGCTTAAAAGATTATTATTAATTATAATAATCATTATACACATATGAAAAAAAATCACAAAGACAAGACAATATTGTCTTTAATTCCATAGCCCACCTCTTTGGACTGGGGAAAATGTGTGAAGGATTCTCATATAGGTTAATCAATGAATGACCGAAAATGGAAATTCAATATGGTGAAAAGGAGGAGGGGAATGTAGCATCAGCTCACCACCAGGGCTTTTATAATGACTCCAGCTGTTGGCCAATTTGCCCCTGAGTTTCCTGGCAGCCAAGGTGAAGGGAAAATATAGTAAATGGTAAACGTGTGTTTTTATTTTTGTTTTGTTTTTAAGAAAAGAGGGCACACACCAAATCCTCTGGGGAGAGCTAGTTAGCATCGTGGACAAAGTCCAAAACACTAGCTTCTAGAATAAATGCATACCCAATTTCACATGACTGTTTTCCATAATGACTCTCAGTAAACAGCAAAGATGTAACAAAATACAACTCAACGGAGGTGATTTGGCAAGGGGCTAGATAAAGTGGTCCAAGTCGGTAGCTTTCCAGGGATTTGGCTTGATAAAAGACCTTAACTCAACATAGCAACTTCCATGAGTGGATAAATAACATGTGCTTCACATAGTTTTCTTTATCATTTCTCCAAGTATGGGTTTTGGTAAAAGTAGGAGGGTAAGAGTAGTAGCTGTGTTGCTAATTGCTGGAAAATCAACACAATTTGGAAAAGCAGATAAGTGAGCGATAGTGTAAAGGTTTATTATAAACAAATTTATTTGGCAACCAATCAATGGATTAACCCAATAGCTATATATGGACCATCACCTTAGTCTCTCCAATATCTGGCCCTTGGTATTTAGTAGGTGCTTAATGATGCCCTTTGAAAGGGATTCCTGTGAAAAGAGAGCAGCTTAGTAGACAAACCCCTAAAGAGTTTGCCTGACTTTGAGGGTCACTGGTGGCTGCCAGCATCCCACCTTCACCTTCCTCAGGGCTGTCCCCACAATTCCATCTAGACCACAGCACCCAGTTAGGGCGCTCAGGTTGAGAGTGAGGATTTGGCAGATAAAGAAGCTCATGTTGGACATGGAAGTTTCTTACCAAAGGGCCTAGTGGTGGAAGTCAGTTAAATCCTAGAAGTTTGTAGCTCTAGTTGTGGAAGAAAGGAAACGACCAAGGCCTTCATTTTTCCAGTGACATCATCAGGGGCTGCTTTACATACCTACACCCTCTTTGTGAAGGGGCTCTTTTCCCTCACTCTCCTCACTTGCTGTATCTCAGGCACTTTTGACCTTTGTGAGCCACAGCAGGCAATGGTCAGATGATTCCTCAAAGCTAAGCTGGACCCCAAAGGATTCTGTTTAAACACCTTCCTCATCGTGTCAAGAAAAGCAAACGCCCATGCCCTAGGGGTAACTCTGCTTTTGCTCTATCTAACATAAGCTCTTTGGGGGTCTGAGCCCCTCAGTTTCTCCTTCGCACCCCCTGGGGTCTCCAACTTACTTCACCCCAGGTAGCTGGCTCACCCCATGTCTGACCTGTTGCCCACCCTGGATCAGAGCTCAGCCTGGCCTTCCTGGACCCTGGAAAAGCATCCCCTTGGACTTCCTTCTCCATCTTCTTCACAGATACTCTGGTGATGCTTCTAACATTGAAAACTGACCATGTTACTGCATTGGTACCCATTGATGGTCATCCAATCAACTCCAGGCTTAAGACCCTCTGTAATCTGCCCCTCAGACCACTCCTGACCTCTCCCTGCATACCTCAGCAACTGTTACTTGTTTTGAATGGTTATTATGAATTTTTAATTGTTATACAATCTCACCTCCCCAGACAGGGCTTTCCTGACCACTTATCTAAAACAGCAAATCACACTCCACCCCCAACATTCATTTTATTTTTCTCTGTAACTTTCTTTTAAATTACACTACCTCTTTCTTTATTGCCCGTTTTCTCTACTAGAATGTAAGCTCCCAGGGGTCAAAGACTTTGTTTTGTCCTACACAGTGTCCCCAGAGCCTAGGACTGGGCCTGGCACACTGTGAAATGTGTCAAATGTGTGAATGAATGAATGAACACTTCCCTACATATAGTATGCTATAGTTTTTCTCTTTAATTTTGTCATTATTTGTTGTTGCTGTCTCCCTGTTTTTGTTCAAGTCATTACCCTCGGCAAGGAAAATCTCCTTCCCCTACATCATCCAGGTCATCTCATTTTATTTATTTGTTTGTTTTAAAAGTTATGCCATAGAAGTTTTGTTGATTTACAATGTTGTGTTAGTCTCTGGTGTCCAGCCAAGTGATTCAGTTATACATATATGTATACATTATTTTTTATATTCTTTTCCATCATGGTTTATCACAAGATGTTGAATATAGTTCCCTGTGCTACAGAGTAGGGTCTTGTTGTTTATCCATTCTATGTATACGAGTTTGCACCTGCTAATTCCAAACTCCCAGTCCATCCCTCCCCCATCCCCCCTCCCCCTTGACAACCACAAGTCTGTTCTCTGTGTCTGTGAGTCTGTTTCTGTTTCATAGATAGGTTCACTTGTGTCATATTTTAGATTCCACATATAAGCGATATCATATGATAATTGTCTTTCTCTTTCTGACTTACTTCACTTAATATGATAATCTATAGGTCGATCCATGTTGCTGCAAATACCATTATTTTGTTATTTTTTATGGCTGAGTAATATTCCATTGTATATATACACCACATCTTCTTTATCCATCCATCTGTAGATGGACATATAGGTTGTTTCTATCTCTTGGTTATTGTAAATAGTGCATCTGTGAACATAGGGGTGCATGTATTTTTTTGAATTAGAGTTTTCTCCAGATATACACCCAGGAGTGGGATTGCTGATCATCAGGCCATCTCATTTTAAACTTTTATTTAGATTGCAGGCACAGTCTCATTCAGAAAGGTCTCCTAGGCCCCTGTCCAGCTGTCCCTTCTCTGGGAGTCCACAGTCCCCTGAGCTTAACTCTGCCATTGCATTTGCTCCACAGGGCTATAATTATCCCTTTGAACCATTATTTCCCTTATGAGACATTCATTCACGGAGGGCTGGACTCTGCAGTCCTGGTGTAGAGCACAGCACCCAATACGTTGTTTTATTGGACTTTCCGTAGATTATGTAACAGATCCCTCCTGTCCTGCTCTTTACAATGCATTAGACATCATCTATTCACACCACTGTCATCACCTTCTGAGGCCCAGAGACAGGGAATGGCTTGCTTGTAATCATGGGGCTGTGTGCATGTTGATGGCTTATGCACTGCAATCCAGATTACTCGCATCCCGGTCAAATATTCTCCCTCTGGTACCATAGGACCTTTTGGTTGACTCTTAGTTTTTTTCCATTTAAATCCTATCATTCCATCTGGACAGTAAGCTCCTTAAGGATAGAGATTGTCTTCTGCCTTTCTTATATGCATATAGGACACAGAGCAGTGCTTTACACATATTAAGTACTTAATGAATATGTGCAGGCTGAATTTTTAGCTCCATAACAGACTGCCAGAGAGTTTCTTACTTGAATGCATGAACATACACACACACACTAGAATATATTGATATTTAGCCATTTTCTTGCCACTTTAATTTTATCTGTATTGCATATATATTGGCCTTCTCTTGGAAGGAGTAAAGGTACAAATCAATTCATCTATCAATTGAATCAATTAATTTATAATTAATTACTATATTTTATAATGGAAACTCTTTTCTGTTTTTGTTTTGTTTTTTCCAGTACAGCTAAATGGTTCCTCCCTCTTTGTTTTTTTACAAATAAGAAAAGGAGACCCCTAAAGTGCTATCTGAAGTCCATGGTCAGCTGGGGAGGTGGAGGGGTACTAGGTCACCATCATTGGCCCCAACAAATGACTTTGGATTATTATATTTCTAAAGCTGAAACAAGACTCAGGATGATCTTGGTCAGAGGTCAGCAAACTTTTTCTTATAATGGGGCAGACAGTAAGTATTTTAGGCTTTGTGGGCCATATAGTCTTCATTGCACCTAGTCAGTCCTACTGTTGTGTAGAGTATAAGTAGCCACAGACAATACATAAATGAATGACCATGCCTATGTTCCAAAGAAACTTTATTGATGGACACTGGAAACTGAATTTCATATACTTTTCACCATGTGTCATAAAATATTATTCTCCCTTTAACTTTTAAAACATTCATGTAAAAAACATTTTTAACTCATGGGCATCATACAAAAATAGGATTTGACCCACAGGCAGTAGTTTGCTGACTGCTGACCCAAGATTACCCTCCCTCACCTTTAAACCCCTGAGAAAATGGAGGAAGAAAGTTATGCAGGGAAATCATGGCAGTGCTCCACAAATAACCCACGTCTTCTGATTCCATCTCTAGGTTTCTGCCCAGTGCACGGGATCTCTGCCTGTTGACTGTCCTCCCGCCACACACTGATATTCGTCTAGGAAGTAGAAGATACATTTTTCTGGATTAATGTATGACAAAGCCAGAGCACATTGCCAGATTGTTCTCCGAGACAAGCAAGATCCCCAAAGTATCTGGGCACACACCTGGCACATCTTGTCAAGAAACCAAATGAGAAATCCTCCATCTTACACCAAGGTAGGAGAGGGCCATGAAACTCAGGCCAGAGCCCCAAGAATTGGATTGTCAGAAAGCTCTGATCCTTGCAATTCTTGTAATGTGATGCAGCAAACTTTGAGGAGAAAGAGGATACATGTCTTCAATTGTATCACAACATACCTCCCTGAGTAGGGTAACCTTAAAAGGCATGCATAGCAGAGTGGGGACTGGTAAGGGAGTCACCCCACAATATAAAGGGGTGACAAAAAACTTGGTAGACAAAATAGGGATATTAATGCAATACATAAAACATCAAAGTTAATGCCCCAAGTCAACAATGAACAAAATATCAGAAATTTAAGTGAAGTCAGGATGTAATTCTGTACATGCAGGACTCACCTCTCTCACCTCACCCTAATTTACCTTGTGGATCCTGCCTCTATTGAAATCTTTTAATATTTTGTTCATCATGCATACTTTTTACAATAATTTCTAATTTTGAAAATATTGGATTGTCCAGGATATATGGTACAGAATTGAATTTAGGGTTGACAAAAGGGAACTTCCACCGTTCTCATCTTTTAAGAAGACACAAAAAGTGCATTTACTTGACAAAACACGAGAGAATCCAGTTATGATCCATGGACATTGGGATCTGTTTTGGTGTCATTCCACTAGAATTGTTCAGCATCTTATAGGGAAAATACACTAAATGGGTCTATTTGGATTTAATGTCAGGCTAGTTGTTTCTGTAAGTTATAAACTGTTTGATTGTAATATCTCTTTCATGATGAATTGGCACGTTTATCTGTCCACTGCCTTGAAATAACCCACGCTGAGGGAAAGCCAATGCTATAATAATTGATACAGATTGATACAAAACAAGACAGAATGTTCAATACAGAAAAATCTGTATCAATTGATACAGATACAGCCAATGCTGTAATCTGTAGTGATTACAGACCTTGTCATAAGCTCCGACCCCTCTCTGCTAAGAGTCTGCATGCTCCTCAAAATACCAACTGAGTCTAGAATGCAGGTGTTGATGTATTTCAGTAGCAGCAATGCTTAGTACCTCTTCTGCAAAAATAGAGCTTTTAAAAATAGCATAAACCCATTTTTTTCCTTAGAATCTCCAAATATACATTCAAAAATGGCACTGACACTTCCTCCCCTCCTTGCCAATAGAAAGCTCATTTACTTATCAGAGTGTCCCACACAAGAGGCTGAAAGTACGTTGAGAAATTTCTAAAGAATCTTAATTCTGACCTTGTTTCTGAAGAGTCATAAAATGTGAATCCTTGAGGCTGCCTACATACATCCTCTTCCCTTCTGGGTCCCCTCCGTCACTTGCTCTGGGCCAACTATCTCTACCATTAATGACCCCTTTGCCTGAACCAAAGAAGACATCTGAAAAAGCAAGCCAGGCTTCTTCCCAGATCAACTGTTGACAGCCACAAACCTCTCTTTGATGTCCCCAGATGAAGAAGAAAGGAGAAGGCATAATTAGTTGGTGTTCTAATGTGTGTGGTATTTTTCACTTTCTCTAATTCTTTTTTGAGCTAAGGTTTGAATTGTTGAGTCAAAGAACCCTTTGGCAGGAGGAGTGATTATATGTTTCAGAGGTCAGAAGCCTGGCCTTTCGCTGTGAAAGTGCCTGAAGGTGAAATTGAGCCAAGTTCAAAGGGAAGTCTAATTGACTGCCCTTGGTCTAACTTCCTTGAGAACTGCTGCCCTTGAATGATCAAGCTGCTGCCTCGGGGTGTCCAGGGTGGTCCTCAAGGGATGGTCTTTAAAATGTCACAGGATGATACCACACTTTAGGTACAAGATAGCTTTTAGAGTCCTCCTTGAGCCCAGCTCATTTATTCATTCAACAACAAATATTCATTTGGCACCTACTTACTGTGTGCCAGGCACTGTTCTTCCACTGAAGTTATGCTCAAATTCTTTATTTGGGGGACCAATGCTGCCTAACATCAGAAGAAAACATGCATTCTTTCCACTGTGTTAATGCCATCTAAAGAATTTTTCTTTGCAGGAACAACGACAGATCATTTATATAAATCATGATTAGGGGCCCCGCCAACCCACAGCATCCTCCTGTTGATTTTTACTAAGTACTCCCCCCGCACAAGTGCTAAAATTCCCTATTTTCCTTTCTCCTCTCCCCTTGCTTATTTTTCTGTATTGAACATTCTGTCTTGTTTTGTCCCTTCTGAGGCTTGGTCTCTGCCCATTGCTTCACAGAACAAATGCCCAGGAGAGGGGATAAAGTGTTCATCTCTTCTTCCCTTGGAAAAGTCCTAAAAGCAGACCAAAGAAAACCACCAAGTGCTAATACCCATGATTTTACTTTTAATTTCAACATTTTTCTTCCATCAGGTAGATAAATGATCAGAGATCTGGACAAAGCAAATTCGATTAGGTTTTTCCAACTGAATAATAAAGATGTGGGGGTTATCATAATTGCAAGATGGGAAGTCCCTTGGGAGTCCATAGGATCCAACCCTCCTGTTTCAAGTATACATGCATGCAAACTACCCTAAATAGGAAGAGGAGATGGCTCATGACACTGGCTGTTACTGTTGTTGTTCATTAAATAACTCTAAGAAATTAATCTATTGGGACATAGTGCCTGTGGATCTTCTGGGTAGACATTTGCAAGGCCTATTGGAGTCAAATTCACCCATATGATAACTAAATGGACTACTTGGCTACCAATGTATGGAATTGTCACCATTGGACTCTACCTGTTCTTTGCTCCTGGTCAGCACATTAAAGCTGTCCTTTACATGACTGATGACATTATCTTCCTGAAACCACGAGCCAGATCAGCATTGCCCTCCTCCTGATTTCAGAAGCCTTCAGTAGCTTTCCACTGCAAACCCAGTGAAGTTCACAGTCATTAGCACAGCATGCAAGGCCTTCCACTATCTCTCTGTACACCTGGAGCACGTGGCAAAAGGAGAGATGGGCTTTGGAACTCATAAGAATCAGGTCTTAGTTCTGCCATTTACTACCTATTCCTCTTTGGGATTAAGCCTCAGTTTCTTCATCTGGATAAAATGGGCATTAGAAGCTCCATCTCCCGGTGCTGTCATGAGGATTGAATGAGACAAGACATGTACAATACTGAGAAGAATGCCTAGCACACAGCAGGTACTCAACAAACACTGTATGTAAAGTTGCAAAGGCGCTAAGAATCTCTCTCTGAGTTTCTCTCTGATTTCCAAATTTATTTCTTCTCACAGTCTTCCGCTCAGTCAGAGCTCCATTGTGACATTGTCTCTCCACTTCCTGAACACACTCTACTAAATTCAGCCTTCCATGTGAGCTCCTATTTTGTCTCCTCTACTCCGACCTCACTCATTCTCTCAGTATCCACTCCTGGATGAAGTGATTTATCTATTTATCTATATTGTATCTTAACTTGATTCCATGGCACTTCTTGAGAATCAAAAGTGGCACTTATAGCCTTTAGCCAATTTTTAATCATCTACTTTTAGCTTGCCCACTACATTGCAGGTTCCCAGAGGATAGGGATTCTATTTTTGTAACTCTGTGTTCTCCAGAGGCACCAATAAAGCAGTATAAGTCAGCTTTTACTAGGTCATGCTGAAGTAACAAATAGCCCCCAAGTCTCAGGAGCTTACTACAACGGTTTATTTATTTATTTATTTATTTGCGGTACGCGGGCCTCTCACTATTGTGGCCCCTCCCGTTGTGGAGCACAGGCTCCGGACGGGCAGGCTCAGCGGCCACGGCTCACGAGCCCAGCCGCTCCGCGACATGTGGGATCTTCCCGGACCGGGGCACGAACCCGTGTTGCCTGCATCGGCAGGCAGACTCTCAACCACTGCGCCACCAGGGAAGCCCTACACGGGTTCATTGTTTGCTCATATTGATGTTAATGGTAGGTCAACAGCAGCACCCCTCCTTCTACCTTTGTACTGAGATCCAGGCTGAATATGCAGTCCCTCTCTGGCACTTGACCTTCTCGAGACAGAGGGAAAAGAGTGATGACAAAACCTTGTAGTGGTTCTCAGGATCACTTTCATTTTATTGACCAAAGCACATCATGTGGCAAGACTTGGTATCAGTGGGATTGGGGAGCATATGTTCTTATGGGATGAGACCCTGCACACTCCACGGCAGCAGGCAGGAACAAGGAATGACAGTAAATATTTGGGCCCATTATTACAGTTTACCACACTTATACATCAGAGATGTATAAGTTATATTATTTAAAATAATCCTCTGAAACCTATAATCTGATTGTGATCAGGATATTACTAAAGACAGTGTTAAGTACAAAATGTGTGCTTTGTGAAGAACTAGCAATGTGATTTCTCTCAGCTCTAAGTATAAAAGTAAGTGTTCTTACACCCACCCTCTCCCTATCAAACGCTGTCACTTATTTCATTGGCTGCTAGGAAGCTCAAGCTCAAGCCTCCTCGCCTCTTGGTGAATTATTCAGAAATGTACGGCAAACTTTTCCAGAATTGACCTCCAGCCTGGCATCATTTTATTTCACTTTCATCCTTATTTATCCAACCATGCTGTATTTTCCATAAGCTACTTTAAAAAATGTGGATTATAAACAAGCGAGCTTATCTTAGATAAACCCTTTGAGATTGTTTGAAGCTTGTCTGCCCACTGGACTTCATTGTATTCTCGCTTAATGTTTTAGCTCTGCTTTTGAGGAATAAATGAAAACACATGTGCAAGACAAATCACTCCTTGTCCTTCCAAATATGCCATGAACTGCCTGATCAAAGGGAAATGAGAAAAGTCACTTCATAGACAGGGCCCCAGGGGTCCCTGAACCAAGCCAGTCTCTCTGGGGCTGGGAAGGACAGATCCCCCAAGTCTGCTCTGGTTCCCCAAGGCGCCTGTCTGACCCAGCACCTTTGCCCTCATCATCAAGGAGAGAAAACATACATGTAATCCTTTATGCCTGGTGGGACTGTGGGAAATAATATTATGGACAGCCCCTGGACTTCCAGGAGGTGTCTCCTTCAGATAACAGGGAAGTAGATGAATTGCAAATACCTGGTAGGTGAGTCTCTAAGACAAGTCAGTCTGACCCTGTGGACATGTGGCTGTTCTGCTTTTTGTACATAGGGGTGGAGCAATTTCACTCCTCATTCTTGGCTCCCAAAGTAATCAGTCCATAATGCTAGGCTGACTGCTACACACACTTTTATGAGTGCCATGTGTGGCTTCGTAATAGGTTTAGGGTTAAGGGTGAATTACTAAGCTTGGTTTATGCGCCTCCAGAAGCTGGCTGACACCTGCTCCTCTTCCCCACTCCCTCCCATTCTCCCCAACCTCATGGTCAACCAACGTCATCAGAGTGTCTTTGGTTCCTAAAATTGTTCATCCTCTTGCTTGAGCTCATGCCTTTTCAGTTACTGTTTCCTTGGACAGAGATGCCTTTCCTCTGCCTTTAAAATGATGATAATGGTGTTGACGGTAATATTAATAATCATAACAATAAGCCAGCTAAGTTCTCATCATCCTTCCTACTCTGCCCAACACATCATTAGGGGGCTTTCTCTTTTACCCCTTAGGATAGGTTAGGTTTCCCTGCTTTGTGAACTCAAATGATGCCTTGACCTACTATAATATTGTGTTTGTAAGTCTGCTTTCTCAACTTGTCTATGATTCCTTGAGGCCAAGGGTCAAATCAAGCTCATCTCTGCATCCTCTGCCACTAGTTCAGTAGCTGGTATTTATGAGATGTAGAGTAAGTCTTTGCCAAACAAATGAGTGGATGAGTTAATCAGGTTGCAGCCAGTTACAATGGTTAAGTGAGTCACAAAGAACAAAACCGCGTGGAGACGGTCAGAGGAAACAGGAAGAGGAAACCACTCTTTGAACTCAGGGTGTTTGCACCATCTCAGGTCCAAGGTGACGGAGACTTACTTCACTTAGCAAAATGTCCTCCAGGTTCATCCATGTTGTTGCAAATGGCAGGATGTCCTTCTTTTTAAGGCTGAGTAATATCCCATTGTATGTATACACCACATTGTCTTTATCCATTCATCTCTGGGTGGACTTTTAGGTTGCTTCCATGTCTTGGAATTGTGAATAATGCTGCAATAAATGTGGGAATGCAGGTATCTCGTTGAGATCCTGATTTTAATTCCTTTGTATATTTACCCAGAAGTGGGATTGCTGGATCACATGGTAGTTCTAAGTTACATTGCTGGATCATATGGTAGTTTTTTGAGGAAACTCCACACCGTTTTCCATAAGGACAAGTACTGCATGATATTGTTTATAGGATGAATCTAAAATAGAACTCATAGAAGCAGAGAGTGGAATGTTGGTTTCCTGGGGCTGGCGGGAGAAGGGAACAGGAAGGTATTACTCAGAGGGTACACAATTTCAATTATGTAAGAAGAGTAAGTCCTAGAGATCTATTGTAAAACATCGTGTCCAAAATCTGCTAAGAGGACAGATCTTATGTTGTATTCTTATTATAAGTGATAATAATAATTGTTATACACAAAAGGTCAAGGAAATGCTTTTGGAGGTGATGGGTAGATTTATGGCACAGATTGTGGTGATGGTTTCACAGGTGTCTACTTATCTCCAGACTCATCAAGATGTATGCATTCATTATGCACAGTTTTTTATATGCTCAAAAAAACAACAATGAGGGAGAGATACAGGGCATTTCTTCAGAAGAGTTGGAGGGAGTAGAATGAGGCTGGCTTGAGAGCATGACCTTTCCCTCCTCTGAATTTGATCTTGGGATGGCTACTCACTGAAGACAATCTCCAGAGAATTCTCCATGAATGTTCATGGGTGCAGAAACAGCCTGACACGGCAAGCAAAAGTACGTTGGACAAGAAATCTTATGGGTGCATTTTGTAAGGAAGAGAACCAATGAGAACATAGAGTCTCACAAATTACCCTAATCATTACACAGACTATTATTACTGGCACTACAGAAAACTCTGTGGGGAGTAAAACTGAGACAGCGAGGACGGTAGCAGGAAAACAAAACAAACAAACAAACAAAAAACAGAGATGGAGTATTTTTCCTGAAAATAGAACAAAGAGAGAGAGAGAAAAAAAGATGGGCTACAGCTGTGCTATTCAATATAAATATAATGAGAAACCCATATGTAATTTTATATTTTCTATTCACCACATAGTCAAAGAACATAAAATGCAACAAGTGAGATTATCTAATAATATATTTTATTAAACGCCATTTATCCAAAATATTATTTCAATCTGTAAACCACCTAAAATCACGAATGAGAGATTTTCCATTCTTATCTGTGTGCTAAGTATTCAAACCCCAGTGTGCATGTGTGATACTTCCGGTGCATCTCAGTTCAGACCAGTCACATTTCAAGTGCTCCAGAGCCACACGTGGCTCGTGACCACAGTACTGGAGAGGACAGGATTCAGAGGAACTGTTTTTGTGTTGTCCCATATCTAGTGGGTCACTAACCTGGAGTAAATGTGAAGAAGCACCCTTGAGGGCAAGAAAATGCCATTTGCAGCACCATGGATGGGCCTAGAGATAATCATACTAAGTGAAGTAAGTCAGACAAAGACAAGTATCACATGATATCACTTATATGTGAAGTCTAAAATATGATACAAATGAACTTATTTGCAAAAGAGAAACAGGCTCATAGACTTCAAAAACAAGCTTTTGATTACCAAAGGGGAAAGAGGGGAAGGGATAAATTAGGAGGTTGCGATGAACATATACACACTACTATATGTAAAATAAATAACAAAGACCTACTGTAGAGCACAGGGAACTCTACTCAATATCTTGCAATAACCTATAATGGAAAAGAATCTGAAAAATAATAGATACATGTATATGTATAACTCACTTTGCTGTACACCCAAAACTAACACATTGCAAATCAACTATACTCCAATATAAAATAAAAATTAAAAAATAGAAAAAGACACAGACCTTGAGTTGGGTCACAAGTGAGAGGGGTGTGACTTCTGTTCTGGTGGTCCTGGGGCCAACATGAGATTGCCATGAGATCTCAGATGAGCTCCTTCCCCTCTCAATGAGTGGAAGGAATCAGCACCTGCAAAACAAAAGGGTTAGACCAAACATGATGGTCTCTTAAAAGCACCTCCATCAATCTCTCATAACCCTAACAACCACTCAGAGTTGGAACTAAAGCCCTCATGGAGAGATGGAGACCCTGAGACTCAGGAATATCAGCTACGGTATCAAGGGCAGACCTCAGAGTCAAGTGGGGAGGCCAGTGCTATGACCAAACCCACTGGCTTGTGAGCAATGGTTATTCTATAAAAAGTTACTGTAACTCTGAAGGGTGTCTGTACATAGAAGATTTTATTTGCTGAATTGCTGCAAGTGGCTACATTACCGCGTAGATAACTTCTGTTCTGGGCTACTTCCTGCTTTCTCGATGACAAACTTTGCAGGCTTCCTTTCATCCTATTTAGGTTAGAACAAAAACACATTTCAAACAAGGCTTCTTCCCTCTACCTCTCTCTTATTCAGGCTGATTTGGGCTCTTGGGCATTGACAGAGACAGTTCCCTGTCATTTTCTCTACCTTTTTTGAAAAGACAAAACTAGAAAAAATATCAAAACACTAGGAAGGTTATTGCAGCATCAGAAATCTCAATGGTGGCTTGGTTAAGTCCCTGGTTTCATGAGAAGCAGGAGCATACCTGTAATGCATC